CTCAGAACCCCTCCACCCCAGTTTCCAATTTTATGTTATGAAGTGATAAAGAATCTTTGGACGCGAATGTCGATCAACGACCAAATAAATTTATTAAGTTTCCGCACACCAAAATCGTAGAAATAACGACCTCCGATACGTTACTCGACGCAAAGGCGTTTAACTGTCGCTCCAAAACCGCAAAATCCGTACAGAGTGTACACGCACCAAGATGTTAGAAACAACGCCGTTGGAACTTTTACTTGACGCAAATGTGCGTGAGTTGCGCGCCAAAATCGTTTATCGTTGAGGTAAGTACTAAAACATGGAACGACCTAAAACCACCTAAAACCACCTACAACGACCTACAACCACCTCAAAAATTGCAAATTCTGTAGTGTATTCCTCTTTCTTAGAGTAACGCAGTGGGTAGCGCGAAAAAAAAACAATTGCGCTTACATACGTGTAGACCTCGTTCTTTAGCGTGACCAAACGGTGTGCGCAAACACGCAAACCTTGTTTCTGAGCAGTTCGAAAAGAGCTGACATATTCAAATATATAATCTTCGTTCTGAATTTGAACCGACATATTCAAACGTATATTCTTCGTTCTTCATTAAACCGAACAGAAATTCAAATTGAAATTAAAAGTCATATTTTTATTCCTCCTTCTTCAAGCGTAATTCAAAATTAAATCACTGAGCATTTCGACTTCGCTGGCTAGTAAACCGACAATTATATTCTGGAGCACTAGTTTAACTGACCTCTCCTATCATTTTTATTTGACTGCGGGAGCGCGGGACTGCGTGAGCACTAGTTTAACCGACCTCTCCTTTAATTTTTAATCAACTACGGGAGTGCGGGACTGCGTGAGCACTAGTTTAACTGGCCTCTCCTTTAACTATTTTTCGACTTCGGGAGCAATTGATTTTAGTAACGTTCAAAAGAGGCCGGGTATTGTGAAGTTGCGTGCAATGTTCTTTTTCCAAACTACTGCCCCATATCGTGACGCGCGAGGATGGTGCAATCCTTTTGTTTAGCAAATGTATGAGCGAGATGTAAGCGTTTGTAACACACTGAGAAAAGGCATTTATGTATATTGATCATGACTTTCTTTGCATTTGGTGGCTCCTAAAGGAGCCGTTTGTATTGTGTCAGGATGGTCTGTCTAACCGCCAAATCCGTACAGAGTGCGGCCTTGTCTCTTCAGAGCGTACACCACATCCATGGCTGTCACAGTCTTTCTCTTGGCGTGCTCTGTGTATGTCACAGCATCACGAATCACGTTCTCAAGAAAAACTTTAAGAACACCACGGGTCTCCTCGTAGATCAAGCCGGAGATTCGCTTGACACCGCCACGGCGAGCAAGACGACGGATGGCTGGCTTGGTGATTCCTTGGATATTATCACGAAGGATCTTTCGGTGACGCTTGGCGCCACCTTTCCCGAGACCTTTACCTCCTTTACCGCGACCAGACATGTTGATTCCTACTCGTGTGTTTGAGTTATGGCAATTGGGCGAACGTTATTAGGTTTTATACGGAAACATAAGACCTCTCAGAAAACAGTATGGGAATAAGGGTTACTATTGGTTGAGTCAAATATCTAAGTATAATTTTACTGTTATATTAACATGTATTAACATAAATCACACGGTATTCCCGCGCGCATATGTTTCCGATGGAAACAACTCTCTTTCATCCACAAGTTACTATCAACATTCGCTGAGAATTGGTTTTACTCTTTAGTTATGTTACCTATTAAATTTAAGATGAGGATTACATTTAGCTTATGCCTAAACGACCTTCCTTGTTACTTCGGATCAAAATAACATCGCAGATCCGTGAAACTATTCACAGCTTTCGTATCTAACCAATCAAATCTCTTCATTTTGAGCCAATCACAAGTAAGCCCGCCAGGTATAAATCATTTTCTATACTCAACTTCCTGCATTCACTAATTCAGAGTCGTTGAACAGGATGGCACGTACGAAACAAACTGCACGAAAATCAACTGGTGGAAAAGCTCCACGAAAACAGCTCGCCACAAAGGCAGCTCGTAAGAGCGCTCCTGCCACCGGTGGAGTCAAGAAACCTCATCGTTACAGACCGGGTACAGTCGCTCTTCGTGAGATCCGTCGTTACCAGAAATCCACCGAGCTCTTG